CTTTGATAAAATAAGTGATGATTAATATTATTCATGTCTTCTGATATGAGCTGAATATAGAGCTTCATTGGAACATCTTTATTGTACTCTGTCCTCTGCCGTCTTTTTAGCTTACTCTCCAACTGCTTACAGCCCTTCATTTCCTCTTTATATGATCTCCTCTTCAATCAGGAAGCCAGCTCATGACTTACCATTCGAGTCCCACTCTACAGCCGGAGGTGTAATGTCAGTCAGTGGCCTTTTCAGCCTACTTCCAATCCATCCCCATCTACTTCTACATATTTTTCACGTAATATCTTCTTACCTGTTTCTATATCTACCAGAGTTCCTTGTTCTTTATCCTTTCTACCAGAGTATCTAATATTCAAATTTGAGCCATCGAAAGGAAGAGTTGATAAAAAAATGCACCAAACCTTTGGAATTACTTAGGGTGTGTTAAGTCTCTAAAAAACCTGACTTGAAAATTCAGATCTTGCTCCATATGCTAACAGCTGATGAAACCTAACTTGAAATCAGTTATAGTCCTACCTGTCACAGATAAGCGACAACAGTTTTCTTTTGGTCTATGATGAATAATTTACCGCATCAATAGGAAACACTGACATACTGAAAGTTTTGATTGGACACTAGTAAGTAACTAGTGTAATGTGTCTAATCTTATCCTTAGTGCAGACTGAATTCTACCAGTCACATTTGCAATGTGGCCACCATGCCACTAGATGGCTCGCCATCACAGTACACTTTGAATTATTGATATTAGACGGTTGGAGGTAGTCGGCAGGAAGCCTTGCTTGACTTAGGTTTCATGCTAGTTGGCATGAACTGTGAGTACCAATTCAAAATATCATTCATATGCAGCAGAAATGAGTTAGTTACCTATACGCAATGCGCAATAATGTATCGAATAACACTAACAACACTGTAAAGAGATAATGATAGTGAATATACCTTTTCCGCTTGACTATTTTGTTAAGGATTTCGTTTTGAACAAAGAAAAGGATATCAAATTTCAATATAGTACTGAAAATTATGTGATAAATTTCATAGATGCTGGTTATTTTTTCACAGACTGTCTAATAAATTACGTTTTTAATATGCAATTTTCTGCTTAAATCTCAACAACTTTGTTTTTATTTATTTGTAACACACAAAAGACAAACAATTGCAGACTTTAGTCATTATACGCACAATTAGTCTAAAAAGAAAATGTTCTAAAATATAAGCACTAGACAGAGAAGTTTACCTTTGGAATCACAAGAGAGTGGTCTTGAAGAATGCTAAGCTTTTATTTCAGAAAGATTATTATAAGAAGGAGAGCAACAGGCAGTAAAAACAGGATTTCTAAGTTTGTCACTGGTAAAAATTCTTGGTCATATGACATACGTGTAAAACTTGGGCACTGTGGTAGTAAGTAATTCCGTATTTGTTTGTTTATTAAATAAATTTGTATGCATGTATGTAAATGACACATTCAATCTACTTAGAACACAGGATACAGATAGATTTTTCGAAAATATTAACCAAAAGGCAGAGGCAGTTCCACTCACTTATGAATGGTAAAGTCAGGAAGGGGAGCTTCCATTGTTAGATTGTAGAGTGAAAAGGAAAGAAGATGGGAATTTAAACACTATTATTTACAGAAAATACATATTCAAACCGATATTTGGATTTCATATCATTCCATCTTATGTCAGTAAAACTAGGATTGGTGAAATATTTAAGTAAGAACACAAAAGCTAAGTGGTACCGAGTAAAACCTAAGACAGGAAGTGAGGTATATAAAAGAAGCTTTGAAACTTAATATTTAACAGGAATCATGTAGGAAAGTGTAAAAATAAAATTAATAATAATAGTGGTGATAATGACAATAAAAATATTAATGATCACATGCATGTCAAACATACACAGGATAGTGACAACACAATCAGTAGGCAATATAAATCATCGGTAGTAATTCCATGCACAGTAGGAACCTTGGAAGCCTTACTCAGAATTCTTAACAAGGCAGGAATAAAAGTGGCATTCAAACCCACAAACGCAATTAGAAACAAGCTTTGTCGGTTAAAGGATCAATTATGTGGAGCCTTTAAAACAAAACAATTTATTTTATCTTATACCTTACTTGCGATTATTGTCAGGTCAAATACATAGGTCAAAGTAGTAGAACAGGGGCAGTAGGTCAGACTAGTCAATCATAAAACTTATCAAAATCTAGATTGGTTGACCCAAATAAAATAACAAACCTAGAGAATAGTTCAGATGTAGCACTACATGCAATTAGATACAACCGTACAATGGGATGGGATAATATGACAGTTTTAAAATCTAATGCAAGAGCAGGGTGGAGGGAGAGACTGATAACAGAAGCTTTGTTTACGAGTCAACTGCAAATATATGTATTAGGAATGATTCAACACCTGTGTAGCTGGACATCTGGAAAATTCTACTTCCCCCACGACAAATAGGGGAGAACAAAGAAAACTATGCGACTCAAGTTTCGAAGTCGTGTGATTATAATTGATGGCATGATTATGAACAATAAATTTTGTTCGAAACGTCATCCAGTAAATAATACTGTTTAATCACTGTGTGATATATCTAATAAACAAATTAATATGGAATTACACATGACATATTGTATTGTTCTAGGCTATTTCAACTTGCTCTTTGGTGCAATCAAAAATCGATAGATATCCTTCTCATGTTACCTCCAACTGTGTATACAAATTTACATGTATCTACGGGAGCAGATACATTGGAAGGACAGAAAGAAGGGCATATCTACGATTTTCTGAACATGTACCAAAAAGCTTACGTCTAAAGGGAACAAATGCTTTAAGCAGTGCCATCACCAGGCATCTTCTCGACACGGGTCATGAGGTGGACGTCGAAAAGTCGTTCAAAATTATCAATAAGCAAAATAGCTCAATTCTCCTTAAGTTTGCTGAAGCCATTTCCATCAAGCGCCTGAAACCTGATTTATGCGTCCAGAAAGAAGCGGTTATCAGCCTTTCTTTGCCCTGGTAACTGGATAATTTCACCTCTCTTTCCTCCGAATGTGAAATGCTAAAAGTTTCCATTGTGTTTGATTATTATTGTTCGGAATAGTGGTTAATATTGCATATTTATATATGTATATATTTTTAGTGTATGAGTATATTGATCGATTGATTTTGTTTAAACTTAACTCTGTGCAAGTATGTTAAAATTGTTGTTGTAGATATATTTAATAATGTCTTTGCCATGTAAGCAGCTGACGAGAAGGCAACGAAATAAAAGATGGTACCATTTTATTCTGCTAAAACTGTAGTTCTTGCTTTGTTCAAATAGTTTCAATTCCTCGTATTTTGACTTTGACAATTCATTATAGAACTGCTTCCATTTAAAGTATCAGTATTTTCTGTTATACGTTACGACATATGACAGCCCTTACAAAATATTTAAACAAACTGCTTTCAACATACAGAAGCGTTATTTCATTTCTGCCTTAACTTCTTACCACTGTTACTGTACAAATAGCTGTTAACATCAGAGCATTTCAAATTGAGAAATGAAAAAAGGATTCGGGGCTTTAATCCGCGCTATGCTCAAGTCATGCATATCATTCAGTTAGAGCATCGTTTTCTCCATGATAAAGTCTATAAGACTACGAATGTATAACAAAAGCTTAAACTGTTTAATTAACATCATTTTCATACAGTTTTATTGATGAGTTGATTTCTGGTTACGTGTAAAACTTGGGCACTCTGGTAGTGAGTAATTCCATGTTAATTTTTCAGTCAGATTTGTCACAAAAAGTGTAGCAGTATTATTTACTGGGTGACGAAGTTCCGAACACATTTTATTGTTCATAATCATATCAAATATGACTACAAAACTTCGAAACATGATTTATATGGTTCTCGTCCTTCATATTCCCCATTTGTCGTCAAGGTAGTAGAATTGTTGAGATGACCTGGTTGTGTGTATTCAGTTAATCCTTATTGCATATCATCTTGGTTGATCCGATAAATACATAAAGCCCCACTTATCAGTCTCTCCCTCCACTCTGTTACATCAGATTTTAAGACTCCCAGTTTGTACCGTCCTACTGTATGGTTTTGTGTAACTGATATAGTACTGTAGCTGAGTTTTATATGAACTCCTCATTTTCTTAGGGTCTACCAGCCCGTATTTCGATGTTTATGTACTGGTCTAATCTAACTCAACCACGCACACTACTGTATCCCATCTCACAAGATCCTTTAATCAACATAATTTGCTTCAAAGTGAATTTATGAGTTTGAAAGCCACTTTTTTATCCTACCTTGTTAAGTATCCAGCTTAAGGTATCTAAGGTTTTAAATGACACGTCCGATAAGAGACTATAATATATCAGACTAGACCTTGAGAATTAGTTATATAAAGTGCGTCAGCATCCAAATCAAACTACTTTCTAAGTGAACTACTCCAACCACCGACAACTAACATTTAGAAATTGATCACTTGGAAGAAAGCAATCACAATTTTAATATAATTTGTATTTTTATAAAGGTGTAAATTAATCACATGCGAATATAGCTCTCATTTGTGAATCCTTCCCAAATTCCTCATACTTAAATAATCCACAGGTGTCGATGGACCAATGATATAATACTTGTCAACCACTCATGTCTTTCGGTTCCGATTCATGGCCGACGAATTCCTAAGCCTCACCAAGCTGGTGGAAAGTTAGGTCAAGAAGCAAGGTTAGGCGTAAGGCTGAAAACGGTACTCAGGGAAAATTCAGCGCCGCCACTAAAACTTCAAAGCTCAATTTTGAAGCCCTGTGATCCACTTAGGACGAGAAGGAATAAAAAAAACAAAAATAAGTAAGGAACAATCCACGTCGTCTATAATTCAGCTGTATAGTTTAACTACTGCTTCATAAATATTCAAGTAAGAAGAACAAATATCTCTGAAACACTTCATCATCAACTCATTCAAATAAAACATTTATTCACAAAACTATTTATACTTACTGTGTTTTTTGTAGAATCCATACGAATTGAGTATATAGTTAATTAGTTGCTTCTAAAGTTAAACAATAGAGGATGGAAGTTTAATTATTCAAAGCGAAGCAGAATGTCTATTACAAAACAGTTTATAGTTCAAATGGCAATTTCAAACCCAGTGTGTGCGTCTATTCATGTTCATTACTTTATTGGAAAACTAAAGCAACTGACTTCTAGATACTGCTATTATTCTTATTGTTCGTTTCGGTTCCTAGTGGAACATAAGGTTTCAACAACACATCTCCACTCTCCTCTATTTTCTGCCATCCTCTTCAGCTGACTAGCTCCACGATTACCCATAATCTCTCATCTCCTCCAACTCACACAACCTCCTCCATGTCACCCACTCGTCCCTTCCCACTGAGATTCCACTCGAGCGATGACCTGAATTGAGTGAGATGTCATTCGACGGTCTTCTGAAAGTACTCCCAATCAATCTCCATTATTATTTCCCCCACATATTTGTTGATCGATCGGCTCTCGCTTGCTGGTTTGTTCCTAGCCAGAGTTTCTTGTTGGTGATTCATTCTGGCCAGTCGGTCATCTGACCTTCAGTATGTAGCCAACGAAGTGAGCAGCTGTTGATGAACGCATGCAACAGACTGTTGTAAATCGGTTTGGTTACACTCAGTGCAAGTTGGTGACCCGTATAGAAGGACTGACCGACTTGACATTGGTGTAGAGAATGAGAATCTTGTTCCCTATGCTGAGGTGGAGTGCAGACGATTAACGAATCGGTTTCAGATTTGTTGATGAAGGCGTGGTTTGCCTTTCTGATTCTGGAAGGCTGACTTAAACATCTTCATCCGTTTTGCTGGCCTCTATTTAAAACGATACTGGCTGCCTAGATAAGTGAAGGAGGCAACCTCTGTTAAATCTCTCCCACTGATGACGATTGGCGCTGGTTGTTGCTGTTGTTGCAGTCCGTTGGTTATCTTCATCACATCCGTCTCCACCTTCTCTATGTTCACCTAGAGTGCTGCCTTTGCTGCCTACCTCTTCAGACAGCTTTTTGGTCTTCGCGTGTAAGTCTTCGAGCTTGTGTGGCATTAGAAATATATCATCCACACGCACAATCCAGATCTTCTAGAATATTCTTATCGGTCGTATAGCGTATTTCTGACTCCTCGCTCCTCACAGTCTGAAGCATGTAGATACTAATTATAAACCATTATTTCGGAGAAGTCTTGATAAACGTAAGTGAATTCATCTCCCTGAAAATAGTTATCCATCCTTGTCCATTGAAAAATTTATCTTATTCTGTTCGACTAATAATTTCTGCTTTTTTCGTTCATTTATTGCCTACTAAACATTTTAATTGTCCTGAAGTGTTTTCCGATTTGGTCGCTTGTACATTGTCGCATCATTGTTTTAGCCTTCTTCATTTCTTTCGCATTTCGAGGAGAACAAAGGGCTTCAAGCCCTGAATTTTCAGTAGGGTTTTATCCTTTAACCCAATATTCCCTCTTTTTCCGGGCTTACTACCAGCCAGGCAATTTTTAGAATTGTGTCAGAGTGGAATCGGATTCAACACTCCCACATGGATGGTGAGCAATCGATCACTGAACTTTTGAAACAAACCTTATAAGCGTAGGTATGTAGCCCACAATTCTTCTTTAGTCTTGCAAATGACCATTATGCAGCATACTAGCCCATCTCGCCTCCACTTATGGGGTAGCATCAAGTCACCAGAACATGTTGGAAGCCCCATAATAATTGCTAACCACAACAGTTTTACTATATCTGAGATTACTTTTGTCAGAGAGCCTTGGAGGTAAGGGCTATCCATCCTTTATTTTAAAGTTTCACTCCAATTTAAGATAATCATATGATATACAAAAGATGTGCAAAGCTCATTGTTGCATGTCGATCAGCCATTCTATTTTTGATTAACTGCATGTCACTTTCATTCATGATTATGTCACTTCAGGTATAGATATTAGTGACAGTTTATTCCATAAAAAAAAACTATCAAAGTATGTCACTTGACCAGTAGTTATGTTTTTTTGATAATTACACAATTAAGATTTTCTAAGAAACAGTTATTAAAGTGCATTGACTGAATAAAGTTTTTTATGTGGTTGAAATCCTTGAAATGAATTGATTATTTTGTAAACAATTCAATATATGCATATTAGTTTATTTCCACATGTTAATCAGATGGGTAGTCTGTTCCATCTTCAGATAGTAGAAAATATGCAATTTAGTGTTTCATTGGAACGACTACATAGTGTCTTAGCAAATGAATTAAATTCAAATACTGAAATACCGACAGACGCCGTGATGAGGCGATGACTTCAAGATTGGTGAAACCGAAAACCACGAATTCACTAGTTTTCTAAAGTGCATTTGCCCTGAGCAGAAGAATATATGATATATATATATGCATATACATGACCTTACGGACGCTTCAGGATAGAAGTCAATCACTTATCTTCCAAATACAGTCTATTACTGTATGAAGTACTTCGATATACACATCTTTGGACGGACGAAGATGTTTAAGTCAGCCTTCCAGAATCGGAAAGGCAAACCACGCCTTCATCAACAAATCTGAAACCGATTCGTTAATCGTCTGCACTCCACCTCAGCATAGGGAACAAGATTCTCATTCTCTACACCAGTGTCAAGTCGGTCAGTCCTTCTATACGGGTCACCAACTTGCACTGAGTGTAACCAAAGCGATTTACAACAGTCTGTTGCATGCGTTCATCAACAGCTGCTCACTTCGTTGGCTACATACTGAAGGTCAGATGACCGACTGGCCAGAATGAATCACTAACAAGAAACTCTGGCTAGGAACAAACCAAAAATCGAGAGCCGATCGATCAACAAATATGTAGGAGAAGTAGTAATGGAGATTGATTGGGAGTACTTTCAGAAGATCGTCGAATGACATCTCACTCAATTCAGGTCATCGCTCGAGTGGAATCTCAGTGGGAAGGGACGAGTGGGTGACATGGAGGAGGTTGTGTGAGTTGGAGGAGATGAGAGATTATGGGTAATCGTGGAGCTAGTCAGCTGAAGAGGATGGTAGATAACAGAAGAGAGTGGAGATGTCGTTGTTGAAGCCCTACATTCCACTCGCAAACCGAATGAATAATAACAATAAATACACATATTTGGTGATATACATCCATAACCATTGTACTCAAGAATAATAATTTGTTCTTCAGTTATATTTATCGAATAAAATATTGAAATTGAAAATGCTTTAAACTGAAGTTCCCTGAAAGCATATAAAACAGATTTAGGCTGTGAACTACTTGACAGTATTTATAGATACACTTAAGTTGAAATATCTGTTTGATGTCACCGTGTTATTTCAGTCGAATAATCTAATTGCAAAGCATTTATAGTCCTTCTAGACAAGGACTTCTGAGTCAATGTTCATGTAAAGACAGCTTTTGGAATTCACTTCAGATGAAATATCTATTAATCCTAGTGGCCATGAATATGACTAACTATCCCTGGAGATTTTCGTATGATTCTACTCATTTGTATTGATACTGATAATCACCTTGATTTGATATTTGATCTTTTTATCATGTGACTTAGTTTTTATTCACGGATAAATTTGATCCATATCAGCTGTCAACTAATTGAAAATTGATCTAATCACCAAACTTCTAGGGATTCCTTGAAAATTTTTTGTATTCCTTCCGTCGACACTTTCCACATTTTCTGAGTTGACTTGGTCCCCATTGGTGTCTGCGTCAAACGATGTGCATGAATGTAAACTATATCAAATCAGGGCCGGTTTACGTCCATGTATGCTAAGATAAAGAAGATATCCATTTTGGGTGGTAAAATGTTTTCCTTATTGGAGGAGATAATATGTATTATAGACGAAGCCGGCTCTAATTCCTTTTTCTGTTAAATCTTTCCGCCTACATAGTATTACTCAATGCATTTGATGGAAGCCATTTTATGAGTCCTGAAGCTAAGATAGATCTTATATTCCAGGCTCACTCAAAGGAGAATATGTAAGGAGATGATTAAAACTAGTGAAACTCGCGCTTTCCCATTATCTCTTTGTTAAAGCAATTACTTGCTGGTCTACGTGAATCCTCTAACATTTGTTTTAATCCACCAATATCCTTGTGCCCAAAAACTAATCGAGATGAGTATTACAACTGAGCTGTAAGGTATTTTTTGTTAGAATACTCCTTACTATTTCCAAGTGAATGTTTCAGATGCCTGAATTTCTCATTCAAAAAAGAAAATCTTCGCTACGCCAGGTCGATTGGCCCATGAACTTCATCTGGACATGATGTCCAGGGAAGTATAACTTTATCTGATCTCAAAAACAGTCACTGTTTTCACACAATCATTTAGTTTACTGAAATACAGTTGAAATCTCACAATCTCTCTATTCAGACATTTAATAGCATAGTTGAAAAAGGACTTCGGCCAATCAATAAGTTTTAATAATTCATTTTGTTAATTTTAGGTGTTAAATAGAGACAATCAGCAGTAAGCTTTACATTGTCTATGTATCCTACTTGTCAGCAGTCATGAAAGTACATTTCTCTATGAGCTTCAGAAAACAGGAGTATACTGCAACGTTTAAACATGAGTCAGTCAGTGACTGAGGCAGTGAGTTTGCCGCTACATTATCACCTCCAGATATCAAATGGAATGACAATATTCAGCACCCCATTATGGATAAGATTTCATTTTGGTAGATCACACAGTGTTCTACAGCAATGTATTATAACCATATGATTATGAGTAATAATTTGTGCTTGAAACGTCTTTAGTTGGTATTACTGTACAACACTGTGTGATTTATAAAAATAAAATCTTATCCATAACGAAGTCATACGCTACCACACTGCCCAAGTTTTATACGTATATCATTAAATTCAGTTGGATGAAATATGAATTCACAATGAATCCAATGACTTGAATAGTTCTGAAGTCTTTGTTTCAAATTGAACTTGGAGAACATTCTCAATGCAAAGTGATCAACAGTTTCCATTTCATAGTTTACCGATTGACTGTTGACTGTAGACAACAACTAGTTTCCAACCTTTAAACTGACCTCATTAGATTACAGACACGACAGAATATAATTTCTAAATAGAATTTTTAAAGGCTGAAATAATTATATTGATATGTTTGGGTTAGTTGATAAAGTTAAGGAGTCATTACAGCTATTCATCAAACCTGATATGAAAAACTGATTTCACCAGTTTATCGAAACAAAAAAAGTATTGTTACTAAACCGGAAATGAGTAATTAACGTCAGGAAAGCTGTTACTCTCTCTCTCTCTCTATCTATGTCATCATAGTAAGCCTAGATGTAACCAGAGTGTAGGCAAGCCAGATTGGATAGTCTCAGAATAAGTACCCAGAGATAAATCTCATTCTAATTAAGAAACCTGTTGGATATTTCAGTAGGAAAATTAATAATATTATCATTTGAATTAGAAATGCACATATTCATCAAGGCTCAGGTGCTATTAGTACAAGACCTGAATTTTTAAACACTAATATTAAATCAATGCTTCTATGTGGTTCAGACACTTGAAACATGCATCAAGAATAACATTTATAACGGTCTCCCGCAGACTTCCATCAGCAGCTGCCATCACAGGCTTGATATTGAGGACTAGAGAACTGGTCAGAAAGGATAAGTAACAAGGAACTCATGAAGTAAATCATCTAGACATACAAACTGATATGGAGGTGGATTAAACATATTCTGAGGAGACCTTTAAGTAACATCAAGGGTCAGACTGTCCGTCTGAAGTTAAATATGAAGCCATGTCTTCGCTGTATACTGAAGATCAGATGACCGGGCCGGAAAGAATCATCAACAAGAAACTATGGGCACTGACAAACAAAACAGGAAGCAATCGCTCAACAAGTATGCAGAGGAAAGTGGAGATAGATTGGATACTCGCTGAGAAGGCCGCCACTGGGTGACATCGCGCGCGCGTCAGGCCATCGCTCGAGTGGAACCAATCGAAAGGGAAGCGGCAAGTGGGATGTCAGTGCAAGGGTAACATGCAGGAGATCGTGTGAAGGGGAATTGAAAGTGTATGAACTAACATGGATGATACAGGTGAAAAGTACAGCAGAAGACAGAAGTGGGAAGTGGAGACGTGCAGTTGAAGCCCTATGTTCCACTAGGAACCCAAGGGAACAATAATATAATAATAATGGATCCAGAGTCCAAGGTCAATATGGAGGAGATCCCACGTAGAGGAAATTAAGGCCTAAGGGCAGCTGTAGGACCAGCTTCAGTTAATATCAGGAAACCAAATGATGTGCCATTGAAACTCCATGTTCCACTCGGAACGCAAAAGACGTATAATGATAATAAAGTAATATATTTCACCATTGGATCGGTTCCCAGTGGCTCAATTGTCTACGAGCCCTCCTTGTAACCAGAAGGTCCTGGGTTCAAAAACTGGCGGTGATTGCGCCCTATCGAAGAGTCTCAAACTAGGACAAAACAGTTGTTCAGTACTCCCAGGTTTTCCAGTGGTTCTCTAGCTGTTGTCACCTCATGATGAAATCCTCCATGCAATGAAAATAAAATCCATACATAACCAATACTTGGAAAGTAATATTTGACGATTATACTGCAATGAAAGTTTGATAGTGATAATTTCCTCCTCTTTCTCAGAAGTCAAGCTCTTCTGATAAATAATCTGCTGAAAAAATAATCAACTTAGGTGAGACAAATTAATCATTTCCCTAGTTGGCTGATCGATAACTAGAATAATTCATCTGAGAAGAATGCACTACTTAATTATTAACACGAATAAGAAAGGTCAGTAAAGGTAACAAATTTCAGACGATTCATCAACGCTACTACTAATAATACTACCTGCTTTGAGACAATGCTTTTGCCTTTTTACAAACAATATGACAATAGGGTTTTAAACAGTAAAACACTTATCTTACTGGTTCAAACAGATATGTTGTTTTCCCAAGTAGTAACTCTTCCAAGCGGGCGATACGAGTTGCCTTTAATGGTTTCGGACAAATTGTTCCTGTCATTCCAGCAATTTACTTCCCTATCCAGAGATTATTATTTTCTTCCAATAGAAAAACGAAAAGACAAGTAAAGCTTTTGTAGAGAAAGATGAACAATTAAAATAGTTTTGCTTTCATATCGAAAATTAATTTGTGTTCAGTTCGATTTTTGTTTAGTTTTGTAAAGTTTATTTTGACAGTCGACCTTAACTGCGTGTCACTATGGTAAAAATAAACAATGGCATTTAGTATTATTGGCTAATATATATCTAGTTTTATTATAGAACACAAAGAAAATGTGTGAGTCATTACATAGAACCTTTTGACGGTATTTAGATTAACAAGTCCAATAAACAGAAATATCAAGTCTGGCTATACACTGAAACGATATAATACTAGTCCACATAATTTACAGTATTTCTATATAGGGTATATTTTTGGTTGATATGATTAGGTAGAGTCACACTACACAGAAAAGTAGAGTTTATCAAACATACTGAGATGATATGAAGGTCATCATCCTTAGGAGAAGAAGGATTTAACGAATTTAACGAGTGTTTTGATCTGGAAAGTTCAAAGTTCCATTCCATCATTGTTCCTTCAGGTCCCTGGTGGGAGATAGAGCTTCAGTACCACTTCTCCATTTCACTCTGTAGTCTTCAGCTTTCAGTTTAGCTGACTCCACACAACTGCCCATAGATTGTCATCTTCTCCTCATAAGATCTCCTGCATATTGCTCCCGGATCCATTCCCAACTCGTTTGTTTTTCAGTCAGGTTCCACTCAAAGACCTGACGCGCTATACCAATCAGCGGCTTCCTCAGCGTGTGTTTAATCTCTATTTTCTTCGTCATACTTTTTGGCTAGTGAATTCTTGGTTCGTTGCAGCGGTTATTTGTTGTTAATTCGTATTAGTCATTCGACCTTCAGTATGGAGCCAGAGAAGACAGCTGTTAATAAAAGTCTAAAGCCTGTCCTAAAGGCTTTTCGTGACAATGAATGAAGGTTTCTGAGTAAAAAATACAAATTTTGTTCTTTATGCTGAGTGTAGAAATTTTCCAAATTGATTTCAGTGTGATGAAAGTCCGTCTTACCTTTCCTAAATACTTTTAGTTCCATACACACCTAAATGTTTGACATTCACGCCTGAAATACCTGCTGACATTTTGGTGCAGTTATTTATATGAGCGATGCAAACTAACTGTTGTCTATAGATGTTTAAGTGCTGCTTTAACGGATAGCTTACTTTCCAACGAAAGTCCCCTTAACATCAATGTAAGAGTAGTGTTAAACCAAAGGAGAAATAAGTAACTATTCATTTCTGATGTTCAAATTAGATTCATTGGATAAAAATATCAAATGGCTTACATTCAATCGCTGTCTACAAATTGAATGGTCAAGATATCCAAGTAAATTCAATTCACAGAAAGGCGAAACTCCTATTCATGAGTAAATATTTTCATGCCTTCTTTAGTTACTTTAACAGTTCATAACAGTCCGTTAGAATATGGGGACGTTTATATCGCATGTAGCCTTAAATTAACAGTATATTGTGGTAGTAAGGCTTGAATTAGTCATGTTCTCTGAGCTGGTTGATTTAATTGCATGGCTTTCGTCATCCTTCTGGACAGCATCTTCAGCGCAGGTTTGAGTATAAAATGAGCGCATTTGAATTCTCCATGAATGGCATGTTTGTGTTTCCTGGCAACAATCTTCGTGACTGGTAGTTGACTTTCATCTCTATTGATCATTTTTATCATTGTTCCTTTGGGTTCCAAGTGGAACATAAGGTTTCAACAACATATCTACGCTCTCTTCTATTTTCTGCCATCCTCTTCAGCTGCCTAGCTCCACGATTACCCATAATCTCTCATCTCTAACTCACACGATCTTCACTATGTCACCCACTCGTCCCTTCCCATTGGGATTCAACTCGAGCGATGACCTGAATTGAGTGAGATATCATTCGACGGTCTTCTGAATGTATTCCTAATCCATCTCCATTACTATTTCTCCTACATATTTGTTGATCGATCAGCTTTCGCTTGTTGGTTTGTTCCTAGCCAGAGTTTCTTGTTGGTGATTCATTCTGGCCAGTCGGTCATTTGATCTTCTGTATGGAGCCAGCCAGTGAAGTAGGCAGCTGTTGATAAAAGTTTGATGGTTTTTACTGACTTCAAAATTGAACTTTCTTGTCAAATGATTTAATTTTTATTAGCTGGTAAATTGATTCTATATTAATATGTTTTTAATTGCTGATTCACTTGAGTACCAGGCCTCTAGAAATTCTCTGGCATTTTTAGTGTTTCCTCTCTTTGAAATTTCAAATTATCTCAATCAAATTGGTGTCCATAATTATTTACATGCACTGATATGACAAAGCGTATATCATGCCTTTTCACAGCTAATATATTTTCTTGGATTCGCAAAAATTGAAAACAAAATCAAAATCGAGTAGGATGTATGGTATTTCATTGGATAAACTTGTTCAGTATTAAAGAGTTGGCCGACTTTTTATTCACAGGCTAAAAACAAATACAATATATACTGACTCAAGCTGATGTCCTGTTCATCTTGACATCCAGAAATACAAACTAACAGTCAAAAGAAATGAGATATACTCCTTTTAATTTATTCCAAGTGAATATTTATAATTATGTATTCAACTTGACAAAAGCAAATGGTAAACAGGAAAACTACACAAGAATCCGGATAATTCATAGAATCTTGGTACACAGATCAAGTTGTGTTCAGAAAGCATCTGTATACTTTTTTTCCTGCATGTTCCCCAGTCGAACATAAGGTTTCAAGCTACTAGCTTGAAGTTTCTGTAGCAGTGTTTATTTTACAGGATGGGATTGCTAGCCTCATGCCCAACCTTTCCTCTTTGCGAGAATTATTCATGGCTCAGCCAGGTAAAGGAGTGCGTCGGTGGCCAAGAATCGAACCCCGGACCTTGTGCATGGCCGGCGAGCGTCCTAACCGCTATGCCACCGACGCAGATTTATCAACCAATAAAGAATAAGCGAGACGATCAAAATGTCGAATATTAGATCAAAGGAACAATCAATACACATACAGATGAAAATAAATTAATAAGAAAATCTTTAGAGACTACCAATCAATTTCAGAGTTATAAGGAAAGATAGTTTTTTAATTTATGGTGAATTCCGACAGATCACCTGGTTTTAAAGTTAAGGCTGATGATGTTGTAGTGTACATTGAACCTTTCAACTTTTGTTTCAACGCACTCACTTCATCTTTTGGTTTGTGACTCTCCTGTACATACTAGGTTCGCTCTCTCGTTGTGATTTCATTCAGAGCACTCTCCGAGCCTACCACCAGTCAAAACCACAGATAATACCTTTATTTATTAAATTTGATATTTCATTTGAGTAAAAAACAACTCCGTCTCAGACACGCTTCACGTCGCAAGTCTTTTTACTCTTACTCCGTTCGTCAGTACTTACACGTTAGGTAGAGTACTGCTTAGGTTATAACGTTGTGAAGTTTTTAGTAAGTGTGGGTTATAGTAGGTCTATCTGTTGTTTAGCCTAACACCTTTCGAGCCAGATGACGGACTGATACCACTACGAGAATTATGGATTATGAGAATTACTGGACAGTCCTAGCTGGAACTTTTCAAAAGTAGGCACTCATAAGTCCACAAAGGATCGAACATAAAACCTTCAAGCTGCGAAACGAAGTTCCTGACCACTCAGTCACTAGGTCGAAATCCTATGACCTACTGATTCTGTCTTCTGACTTTAGAACTTGAAAGTCCTATGTTCGATCCTGGGTAAAATCATGAATGCGTACTGATGGGAAGTCTATAACAAGGATAAAACAGATGTCTAGTACTCCCAGATTCCCAGTGACTCGCTAATTGAAAACAATGCGTAATTAAATATCAAAGCAATCAAATGAACAGTCGTAGAAATTGATTTAAAAGAGAGCCAGAGTATTGTAGCTAGACCAGCCACCTTGAAGAAAAAACAACGCTACAAAAATCAGAGTATCTAGTACTGCACGTCAACCAGATCAAGATAACGAAGATTTAACTTGTTTAGAGTTCAGTTCATCAACCGTGTATCCGGTGTAATTTTCAAGGTAAAACTGAATCACCCAATGACTACCTCATTATAAATGTTTCAGGTGACATAACAATCTCACTGTAAGACGTCTACTTATAAACACATGATAAGGTGTGAACAGAGTGCGCTTCATGTCATTATAGCGCTTACAACTTACAAGTATACCACTCCATTCTACTCGATGCGTAGTGAGCTATGATCATTGTACTTTGAAAGCAATAAAGACTAGTTTTGAATGAATTTTGTTGGTAACAGAAGGATGAGACATTCGAATTACCTCTTTTTAACCATTCTATAGACTTGTCGGTTTTATCTCAATCCACCAATCGATTGACATCAATTATTGATTCATAAATTAAAACAAGATTCAATTTAAATTTCTACTTAGTCTGTAGGCAGCGTTAGTGGTAAACTGCTGACTGAACTAACTACTATTGATGTTTATAAAGACATTTTAATTCTTTCAAGCAATTGTGCAAGATTCAACTTGTATGACACGGAACATCCTCCACCTTCACAACTTTCTCTTTGTTACTTTCTGAGTAGACAGCAGAAGAAATTCCAAAAGAATTTAAACTCGTACAACTATTAAGTAAAAAAAACAATCAATCATACTCTACATTTAACGTGGGTGTTGTGTGAAGAGAAAGATATCTCAGAAAAAAGAACCAGTAAATCTATTTCATAATCTCCAAGTAATTAACAACTTATTCCAAGCATTATTATTATTACATCTATTATTCTTTTATTAACCTTAGTTTTGCCGGGTATCTAATTTGATTTTATTCATATTAAGAGATACATTTTGGCAATATATATGTACATATAATACTGAAAATTGCATTCTCTATCAGAATTGTTATTTGGAATAAAGCCATTATTATCATTAATTATTGTTATTTATCTTGTTAGACAAGCGTTGTCTTCTTTTACAGAGAATTTAGACAGATCAAATGTCTTCATCATCAGTGACAAACAGATTATATACAAAGGCAGTTCTTAAGTCAAATTCGCAATTAACAATTTATACAATCGGAGGTGGGATTTCACACCATTTTCCTGTATAAATTGATATTATTCTAATCATAATATGTGATCTGCTATGTATCATAAGTGGCAATC